TTGGTATTTATTGACATATGCATGTCTTTACAACTCCTACATATGAGATTATCTTTATGTTGATTACTTTATATCTATAGATGTAGAAGTAGTGTTTCCAGCAATATTAGCTGAGCCATCAAGGTTTATTTCTTAGCCCCACTAATAAGCATCAGCAAATGACACTACTCTAGAACAACCAATAAAAACTGGCCATTTATTAAACATGACCATGATTAACAATCTGATTGGAGTCACTGTTGTGTACTTTTCTGATTATCCTTGCCTCTACAGTCTATTCCCAAACTGTGATCATAATCATCCCTTTAAAACCGTCAGCTAGATGGAAAGTTGGCTCAGCTAGTAAAGGCGTTAACGGCGTAACCTGATGTGAAACCTTAGTTTGATCCCTGAGGTCCAGGTGAAAATAAAAAACAATAATTAAAAGAAGAAAGGTGGGTTTTATATATATATATATATATATATATATATATATATATATATATATATGATATAGATAAGATATAGATATATAGATATCTGTTACCCCACCACTCAGGAGAATATTTCAGAAGCTTGACAGGCAGGGGACTTAGTGCAGCATCAGGAAGAACGAAGAAGAGACCCTACTCCAGAAAGTTGTCTCTTGGTCTCCACATGCCCACCATGGCACCTGAGCCACACCCTGTAACTACTCAATTGGAACGTTCCACTGACTCCCCGTTCCTTCCTTGGCCTTTATCTGTCTGTTTTCACGTGTGTTCCTCTCACTCTGCTGCAGGTGCAGCAGCTTCCTTACCACCCCTGGAACATGCCAGACATCTCTGCTGAGTTTCTTTGTGCTTTCTTCTGCTGTGGTGCTTTTCTCCAAGCCTATCTGCTGTCTCTCCCCATGACTTCTAAACCATTGTTCCCATGGGGTCCATCCTGAGCATCTACTTACTGTTATGCCCATGTCCTTCTGTGGACCCAGGCTTATGGCACCTGGCCTACTGCATGGTTGCTGCCTCACGTGGTACTTACTACCTTCTCCCTTACTCAGAAAAGCACGTCCATGAAGTGAATGCTTATGCCATCCCTTCAAACATGCCAAGAGGGGGCAAATCTCTGTACAGGTGGTCACATGAGCATGCACTCCTATAAAATTTGCAAACACAGTATATTTTAACTACAATCAGTTACAACTGTTACCTTTTTCAATCCATTTTTTTTTCCATGCTCTCCCTTGCATCAAGTTGTTTCAGAGTTGCTACAGCATTTCTGAGGCATGGCTCAGAGAAAATTGCTTGGGGTATGTTAGCCATATTTTTATCACTGTAACTAAATGCCAGAGATAATCAACCTAAATAGAAAATGGCTGTTCTGCCTCACAGTTTTGGGAGTTCCGATCCATATTGATTAACTCCAAGGTTTTGACCCTGTGGCAAGGCAACATAACACAGCATGTCTGTAGGATGTGGAACAAAAATGCCTCCAGAGTCTGGAGTCCCGCTGTCCATTCAAGGGTGAAGTAACAGCAGCACAGCACCTGCCAGTCGGCCCTGCTCTTAAAGGTTTCAGCACCTCCCCGTAGCAGTACCCTGCGGATGGAGCCTTTAACACAGGAGCCTTTGCTGGGACATAAGATTCAAACTGTGGCATGGGGGCATGTTGAATTTGGACATAGTGGTCACTTCTCTCTGTATCAGTCCTAGCTGATTTGTTGTGGAAAGATGGCTACTTGCCTGATGGTCAGAACGGGTTCTACTTTCTGTATAACAGAGCCTCAGACAACCCAACGTGGCTAACAGAAGACAAGCATGCTGTGAAATTAACAGAGCCAACTAAGTGGTGGGAAATTCTTCCACATTCTATAGTTCAAAGTTTAAAGAAACCTGATGAAAGTTTTTGTTAAATTTAAACTCAACCTTAGAACTTTTATGAACTGACCAAACAGTTATAACACCAAGAGAAACCCTTCTAATCAATAATAACAACTTTAATATGACAGAAAGGAAGAGATTACCTCTTTTCCTGGCCTAGTTTTGGTGAGGGGCATTGCGGCTGGGCCAAGTGTTCTGTGTTCCTTTTAATAAAAACTGTTACAGAACAGCCGTGCAAAGGCGTGAGCAGAAATGGGCCTTGGATAGTTAATCATCCGGAATATTTGCAACTTTTGGATGTTTACAGTGGGTTTTCTGTATGAGCTTTGAAATGTATGCAAATTGTGATGTCTTGTTCTTCTAAATGAATATTTCATACTGTGTTTCATTTTTAATTTTGTATTCTTCTTACTGAAGAGGGCCCAGCAAATCATATAAATGTCAGGCCAATCTACTCTAACTGTACCTTCATATGCCAAGAGAATTCTTACTTAATGTGGCTTGTTGTCTGGCCCTCCATCTTATCCAGCATACAACAATCATCTCATAAACAGAAATCTTACACTTTGTTAGTATATTTTAACTTCCTGACCAGTACTTGCATGTAGGACTCCATAAATATTTTTTGAATGAATGCATACATCCACAACATAATGGTGAACCCTTAGTGTCAACCTAATTTAACCCTGCTCAAGAAAAGTTAATACCAGCACGAAGGAGAATGAAAATACTCTGCCACACAGAACATGTTTGATGTCTCCATGCTTCATGTGACTAGGGACACAGATATAAATTCCTATTTGTAGGTATTCTTCTGTTGTCATGAGCTATGTTTGTCAAGAGACCCCAGGTTATTATTTTCTAGGTTCTGTTACCTAGAGTGGGCATGGCTGCTTTGGGCATCATTCTGCTGCACAGGTCAGAATTTCGTTTTAGAGCTATAGGAAGTGAAGTCATACCAAGCTCCTCTAGGAAGCCATGGCAGCAGCTACTTTTTCTTAAAACAAGAAAGCAATAGGAAAGCAAGCTTTCATTTGCCTCCATCTCCTCTGTGGTAGAGACATTTGACCTAGTGAGGTGTCTGTGTCTAAACACAGCACATTAGAAGTAGGAACATTTGTCACACAAAGGAGGGGCAACCAGCATCTGGAGACTGGCAGAGAGAGTGGGCCTAGTTCTGTGAGCTTAAAAACCAAAGCCAAGCAGGATCTCAGAGAACGCGCCTGGAGGAGGGATGGCTGCTTACCGAGGAGAGCACCTGTTTTTCTGAGGCCCCTGGAGAGTTTCGGGAAGTTAGAGGCACTGTTTCTGTTTTGAGTGCACTGGTTTTTTTCTTTCTGGTTTCGGCTTTTGTCCGTTGGGCTCTTGTTCCCGGACAGAGCCCCGGAAATCTCATTATCTGCAGTGAACAAAGCAGCGGGCTAACGACAGTGCTAGGTGCGGAGGAGGAGGAGGCTCTGCTCAACTGTGCTCTCGGTTTGCCAGGCAGCGCCTGCGCTGCTGTTTCCTGGAGTACGGTTTACTGCTCTGAGCCCACAGTCTAGCAAGTCTAGACAAAGGAGCATCGATAAGGCCTTAGACCTGTCAACACAAACTGGAGTGCCCACCTTCCTTGTCAACTTGTATTCTGTTTAAGAGTTTCGTTTCAGATTAGAGCCCTAAAGAAATTATTGGAACAGCAAGATTCTCTTCCCACTCCTACCCACAGATTTACAAAATTTAGAGAAACTGCTTATTGAGAATTGTATTGTTACCCAGAAAAGTAGTTTGTTTGTTTATTTGTTTGTTTCTCTCTCTCCCTTCCTTCCTTTCTTTTTTTTCTTTCTTTTCTTTCTTTCTCCCTTCCTTCTTCCCTCCCTCTCTCCCTCTCTCCCCTTCCCTCCTTTCTTCTTCTTCTTCTTCTTCTTCTTCTTCTTCTTCTTCTTCTTCTTCTTCTTCTTCTTCTTCTTCTTCTTCTTCTTTTCTCTCTCTCTCTCTCTCTCTCTCTCTCTCTCTCTCTCTCTCTCTCTCCCTCCCTCCCTCTCTCTCTCTCTTTCTTTCTTTCTCTCTCTCTCATCCACATCAAAAAAGACACCTCAGGGAGTAAAAATCCAGTGCTGCCAAGCTGAGGCCACAAGCTGTCCCCTGGACCACTGTGGCTCTGTGGGAGCATGGAGCGGGATCATCCCTGGGTTCTTACATGACTAAATTCCCTTTTGCCCCTATAGGCTGTAGAAACACTTTTGCAACACATTATTTCCCAAACTGGGTTAAAACTTTCCCAATAAAGTTTGAACTCTCTCAAAAGAACAAAAGACAGTTTTCTTTGTTTTTCAGAAAGTTATTCTCCTGAATTACCTTCTCTGGAAATAGTACAAGAAATATATAAAACAGTCCCGCACTAAAATGTGATGGGCATATCAGAAACGGAAGAAAAGAACGTTTGAGGAAAAAAAAAAAACTAAAAAGTGAGGATTTAAATTATTCATCAGGCCTCCCTCTAGCCTGAATCTATTCTTGCCTAGTGAATGGAGCACCCTGCGTGGATCCTCAGTGTGGGCAGGGGGAGTGTTCACTTTAGTGGGGCCGTCCTGTCAAGACTGGTTTATTTGGATCCTTTTGACCAGAACATTTGCCGCTCTCGGTTTTCCTTTTTTTCCCAGCGACTGTTGCATAATGCAATATTTTATCTCTGTTTTCAACAACTTGTTGAGTCTGTGCAGTTAAAATGGCTGACCTTCACCATCCGTTATGTAATAAACCTGTCAGGTTGAATTTTGTTGAATGAGTCAAAAGATGAAGAGGACACTGATATCTTTTAGATAAGAACTGAGCATTCTCCATGTAATTTGTGGCTTTATGTTTTTCCAAGGAGGACGAAATGAGCTAGTTCATTGGTTGCTGACCGTTTGCTGAGGGTCCTTCTTTTCAGCATCTACATGACCAGTGATTTACTCTAGGCTCCAAGCTTTCTTCTAGTTTAAGATGGTAGGAATGCCAGTCAGGTGAGACACTGAGACCAAGGGGAGGGACGGAGGCCTTCCTTCCTTATCTTAGTACTCTTGATTTTCCACCCAATTGCTTGCACATGTTCAGATAGTTGGTCTTTTGCTTTACACACGTCCCTTTACAAATGCTCGCATATGTTAATTTCTGTTTTTCAATGTGTTCATTTTCCAGGTATTTGAAAATGGTAAAGACACTGGAGAGATCTCCGTTTACATCAGTAGAAAAGATTTAACATCTGATAGCCCGACTCACCACGACAAAACAATGCAAAGAGTGAGTAGCTGATTGTGTGAATGTAAGCATTCCCCATGTAACTTCGAGTTAATGTAAACAACTACATCTTAGGGCAGTTTATAAACTATCAGCCATTTGTTGTTCTACAAGGTGAGGTACAGTGGAGTGTTGACTCCTGAACCCTAATCACATCTCAACCACCAGCATGTTTGTATTTGAAAATATTTTTATACTGGGCACTGGTTTTGATACATCAAGATTGTTCTCCTTTTATTTAGTTAGTTGTTTCTTATACTATAAAAAGAAATGTCATAACATTTGGTGGAGGGTATACTCTGGGAGTAGTATTTCTAAGCCATGCACCCTGAGTGACTAACACAGAGTCTTGGTCTTCTACCATACTCACTGTGAGCAAATCCCATGAATTTATCTAGGGCACTCTTACCTTTGCCTATTTTCCAGACAATTGGGATGTTTTTCAGGCAGAACCAACATGTTCAGGGTCTTTATTTTGGGCTTTTGTCTTGCATAAAAGGACATGGAACACCCTGTTGTTTACAAATTGGGGTTATGCGCCCGAGTGCACACCAGTGTCTTGGGCTCTGTTGCCTCCTCTTTGTTCAGAAGCTTGCTCTCTTCTCTCCTTCAGTACAGCACCCTCAGACTTACCTCTCCCTGGAAGCATTCCTTACCTGACCTGTAAAGCCAATCACAAAAGCTTCATCTTAGAATTGGGTGGCACTCATTGGATCGTTAGCTAAACCCAGAAGAGACAAAAATGTTATTTTAATTTATTAGAGAAAGAGCCAAAGCCTTAGCTGGTTTCCTTTTATTATCATGTCCATGACTATAGAAATTGCCATGGTACCAAAGTCCTTCTAGAATTTTCTACCTGTCTCACAACCTTTTTACTTTAGAGTATTATATCTTTTAGTAAATGCTGAAACTGGAGGTGTCTTATACAGAAAGCTGTCATTCCATGGAAACTTCATGTATTGACTAATGACTGACTGAAATTGTGCTTTGCTTTAATTTTCAAGTAAATGGGGGTGGAGTTTGCAGAACTTTAATTAGGGACATCAAAAAACTCTATAGAGAGCATCTAAGCGGAGAGCATCCTAAGCAGTCCGCTCCCTTGTATAGACACTTGTCTCAATCACCACCCTAAGAGGTTGTTTCATACTCTTCTCAGATCTGCGAGCAAATTCTTATCCTGTAAAGGCCCAGTGATGATAGCTTTAAAGATAAATGGATAAAGATTATCACAATTTTTGGTTTCCAGAGCCCAGCCCTAGCCAATGACCTCCAGATGAAAGGTACAAAGGCCCTTACCTCCTGTAGGCTGTTGAATGCTCATCCCTGAACACGTAAAGTGCAATCTGTCACCAAGTTGTAGAAATGGAGATTGCGGTGCAACTCCTGTGAAAAGTAAATTTGGTTACATGTTTGGGAGCTCAGAGCCCATTGCCTCTGAACACCACTGGCCTTGGTACATACCCCACCCCAGGATCCAGCCTTATATCTTTCATGTCTTTCTCCTTTACAAAAAAGTGATACCTCTAAAGCAAAACCCTTTGATAAAACAAACAACCAAACAAAACAGTGACCAGCATTGCATGTTTTCTGAAATCATAGCAAAGCAGCAAAACTAAGCTCAAGAGTTGAGAGCACAGGGGATTAAATGTAGGGCTTTGGAAATAGAATTCATGGGTTCTGAAATATGTTTTCACTTCCTGTAAAACAAAACAATACAGGTTTTCACTGATGCCTTCACCTCTTAAACAACTTAAGAGATCAGATGTTGTTATTGTAATATATAGAATTTAGCTCTGTTGGGTAAGAAATATTAACTTTAGTGAAACAAAAAGAAATACTTAATCATTTTCAGCCCTTTGATGCTCTAACTAAAAGGTTGGCTAATACAGGGCTGATTGACATCAGAGTTACTATCATTTTCCTCCAATTAGGGCAGCACTTAGTTCTGAGGCATTCTGTAAGTATAGTTGTTGACCAAAAAGAGTATTGTACTTAGTCAAGAATTTATGGTCAGAGAAGTGGGACACCCAAATGTTTATGGGGACAGAAGCTTCTTTTCTCCTGAGCCTCAGCAGTTAGTGCTCTTCATGTGCCTTCGGTAGAAATTAACAGAAGGAAAGAAAGTGAAAACGAAGAGACCACATGCTTGCAGGGACCAGAGTGATAAGGAATTGAGAAGCGCAAGAACTGACAAGGAGAAGAAAGGGAGGTCTGTGACAGAGGGCTGGGGGAGGGGGCAGAGTGATGGATAGTGTGAGGTGGGAGCTGGGAAGAGCAGGGGCAGAAAAGCTGAAACAAAGGTGACAGATGATAATGAAAGACGTCTTAAAGTACCTCATGTGCCACAGTTCCACTGGATTTATTTACGTTTGAAATATGTGTGAAATACCCTCTCCATAACTTAGTCTCTGACCGCAAGAAGCATGGCACCAACAGCGCTATTATTTAAAACGTGGAGTGACATCACTTCATACTCGCACTCCAGTTTTGTCTTACTCACAACTCGCAGACATCACTTCCTGAAATCATTCCCAAGGTTTGCAGGGCTTGCAGTTAAAAACCCTCGCAGAAGAGTTCTGAAAGAGCCAGCAAAGCCTGAGAGGCATGTCGGTTTTTGCAGTCCTGAAAGTGGGGAATTATTCTACCACCCAGTTACCCGAAGCCCGCCGGGGATCGTGAGATAGCCTGTTGTAACAGTAAAACTTAAATGTGGTCTGGAAGGGCCTAACAAACCGTGCAGTGCAGACAAGACAAGCATAGCTCTCATCAAAGAGGATTGGTACCGGGTGTGGAAGCTAAATGCTCTTTCTGTGAGACTGTCACATCTGCTTTCAGGCACTGCGCCAAAGGGTCAGGGCTCAATCACAAGCCTGTGGCACCCCCTGCTGGTTAAAAGCCCGTGCTCATTTTGTTACTTTACACTGAACTAAACATTGCCGTCATTTCACACTTCTTTTAACATTCTATATGAATTTAATTATCGTTTGTTTGGAGCAGAACAGAGACAGTTTGTTACAGATGTTCACATAGCTTATGTCTTCCTCTTCATCCCCTTCACCTGCTCGGCACCAGTTACTTCTCAGAATCCATCAACGGCTCCAAGGTTCCTCCGTCAATTCACAAGGCCTCCACTTTTCTTCAGCTCGGATTTTCGATGAGCGTGGTCAAGAGATTAAGAGTCCACTGCAGCTGAAGAATGGGCAAAAAATTTGGCTTTCTTATGGGAAAGCATACAGGTAGGAGCAAGGTGATTATTCCGTGTGTCTTCAATCTCTCCGCAGTGAGCTCATTTAGCAGGAGAATTGAGAAGCCAAGTACGACCCTTTAGGAATTAAGAGAGAAAAAAAAAAAAAAAAACAAAACATTTTTTTTTAAATTCCAATAAAATTTAAGGAACATTTTTTTGTAAGGCAGCATTGTTTATGGAAGGAATATGACCAACTCCTCTCTCTCTCTCTCTCTCTCTCTCTCTCTCTCTCTCTCTCTCTCTCTCTCTCTCTCTCTCTCTGACTTTCTGTCTTAATGCCTTGTCATAGTTCTTGAGGTCTGCCTGTCAGCACAGCAAGAGGGATTTGTTCATGTCTGAGTAGTCACCTTAATGATAGCAGATGGAAACGCCACGGGGGGCCCAAGCCCATCACACTGTCATTGTCACACACTGCCCTGACCTGCTTCCTCTCCTCTATTTTTTTTTGTCCCTTTTTAAAGGAGAAATGGATGGTAATTGAAAAGGATCTTAAGCAAGATTTATGAAGCTGTAGACAACATGATTCCCCACGATATCTCTATGTTTTCACAAATAAAGTCTTAACCTCCTAAGCACCAATGACAGGACAGCTAAAGATAAATTGGTAAAGCTTGTGAACCTCTCCTATCAAAGTTCTGTTTCTCACAGCGCCTTACATTAGCTGACAATAATTACTGGCTATTTGCTGAGCATTGTGTAAATTTTTGTGGATTGGTAAATTCCTGCATAAAATTATCTGTGTTTCTGAAAAAAGAAAAAGGCTGCCGTATCTAGGCACTGACAAGCTGGGCTCTTGTGTTGAATTTCTCAGAAATGTATGCGTATTTTGACAGGAGGCATCCAGATGAACTCTGAAACTGCTTGTCAGGGAACTTAAACACACTTTTTTTTTTTGGCCTGTTTTTAATTTTCTTAGCTCATTGTTTAGAGGTAGAACGAAATCGTGTTGCACGTAAGGTTGAATTGATCTTATGTTAACAATAATGAAAACAGAGCTCAGTAATGGTGTTTGCTCAAAATTTCAAACCTCAAACAACAGTCTCCTTAGAAATCCATGAAGGTATCAGGGTGGTGGAGGGGTGTCATGCCGAAAAATTTTGTTTTGTTTGTCCCCATAGAATAAAATTAAAACACATGTTGATTTCTTATGCTGTATAATTCACAGAATTGGAGTGTACATAAAGAATCATAACATTTTCACTATAGGCAAGGCTCAAGTTAATCTAAGTTTTATTTGGAATAGAATCGCTTTCACAATGATGGAAACAGTGATGGATTTTACTGTAGTAAGAATTTCGGCATAATTTAGCAAGCTTTTCCTACGGCAGAGAACAGCTCCAATCAAGTGGGCATTCTTATTTCCTCTTAATGTCTTTGTCAAAGTGAAAGCAATGACTTCATCATATTTTATCATATTTTCTGTAATTAAGTATTTTGCAAATATTGAAAATGTATTCTTGGCTAGTCATATTTGTGAAATGAGTAGTACAATGCCAGTAATCTTGAATATTCCAGAATCTGATTCTAGAAAACTGTGTAAGTTTGTAAGCTTGTTTGTGACTCATTATTTTATTAGGATGATGTACTTTTTTTCTCATTTTGAAAATAATGCACTAATGTAATACAGAGCACAAGATAACTATGCCAGCATCTTGACGCCACTGGAATTTTTAAAATGTGTATTTCTAAAATTGTATTGGCACGTACTTTAAAATACTCTGAGAAAATGCACAATATTTACTGAGTGAATAGTGTTTGTTTTCAGGGAGTATTCTGGTGTATATAATTATTTTGACATAGGCAGTCATACTCATCTGTAAAAATGAATGTTTAAAATTTCCTCCAAATTTTGCATATTTTGAAAAATTTCAAATCAATGACAAGTTGGAAGAGTACCATAACAAATATTTTCATATTCTTCATTTTGATTCACCCATTTAATCAGCTTTCCTGTTTTTTAATCTCTCCTGAAAGTAATTGCAGACAATTATTAAAATTTTACTCCTTCAGTGCTTCTGGCAAATTGAAGAATGAGACCCTCTGTGTAACCAAAATGTGTGCCTAACAGTCCAGAATAACACATTCTCCTCTGACACCCCCCTCTGCAGTCAGCTACCCACAGGTGCTGTGGAGCTCAGTGTACCCAGTGGCTAGGTAAACTTCCTCTGCTGTGTTTGGTCCATTTCAATATCTCCTTTTAATCTAAAACATTTCCTTCACCTTTATTCTGCTTCTCATCATGCTTATCTGTTTTTCAAGAATTTGAGCACTTTTATTGCAGTATGTCCCACACGCTGAACTTGTCTGTTTTATCATGATTATATGCAGTTTAAATACTATTGGCAATAATATTTCATGGACAGCAATGTGGATAACATTCTAGAGTTAAACCATAAATATTTCTTACCTATTCAGAGAAAAAAAGCTTATAGAAGACCATGCTTTTTATTTAAGATGTTTCCAATATGATGCTAATTCTCAAATTCACCTAACACCTCATGCATTATAATAGTTATGGAAATCAGATCAATGTAACACTTAATAACACTTAGTGAGCTTATGAAATAGTTGTTTATACTCAGTATTATGCATTTATTTCATTCCCAGTTCCAGATGCACTATGGGCACACTGAATTAGTTACACAAGGAAAATGAATTGGTAGGTGAACACTTGTTTTTCTCAACTACAGTCTTTCACTGTATATATATATATAAAATTCTTTGCTAACTGTACATGTAGCAAACATACTCGGCACTTTATGAACCAGCTAAATAAACTCAAATGTCCATTCAGATGTCACTATAGGAGTTTAAGGATAGTAGGTTTTTATTAGGTATCAGTATCAAATACCTTATTATTTATGCTCCATTTTCAATGTATATTATGCAGATAGCTTAAATATTTTTTCCATTTTTTTCAGATCTCCGCTAAACCCTGTTTTGGCTCTGACCTTTGACCAAGTGACTGCTTTTGCCAGAGATGGTATCACTGCTGTCTATAAGACCCTCATGGATTCTGATGCTGCTCCGCTATTTGGATGTGACGAGTAAATTAATGTATATTTAATTAAAGTAACCCATCATCTAATTCAGGATTTCCCACAGTGAGAGATCTGAAACACTGAAATTTTTTTTTTGAATTGCCTTAAGCAATACTTGTATTGATTTACTTCATGGTCTAATGGGGTCAGGCCTAAATGACTTAGCAATGTCCCTTTGTTTTAAAAGGACTATATGGGGACAATGAGCAGTTTCTTGCTTTAAATAAGTTGCAATTTCATTTGAAATATAAAAGCTGTTTTTATGATTATTTCCAAATTAATAACTTTAGGTGAATTCATTACAATAAAAAAATAAGGTTTTTTTCCTCTAAACTCTCATATTTAAATCCTAGATTTGATGATGAGGAAATGAAAACTAATGCAATGTATCAGGGGCTCCATGAAACAGTGGAAGGAAAAGTCGAGAATTCTTGGGAAGATCTGGAAGGATAGCACCATCTTGCTCCTAACTGCCCATGAACAGATGGATATTAGTTTCTAATCTGTCAATAATAAACGCTGTCACCTATTCGGTGTTGACTTACAAATTAATGGCTTAACATTTTCATTTAATTTTCAAATGATGAGTTAACCCCAGCAGTCTCTGTTATCACTCCATTTTTCAGAGACAGACCAAGGAAAATAAATAAATAAATGATTTGCCCAAACGCACACTGCTGGCAAATGGTGAGCCAGAATTCAGATGGGCATCGTTGGTCTTAAGGACCTTGATGCTTTCCCACCAGGCAGTACACGGTGATGGAAGCATGCTCTATGTCTGGTGGAAATGTGACTACCGGGACTAAGGGACTTAATTTTATAATTTATTTAAATCAAATTTAAATAGAGATATGTAACTTGTGGATAGTGTATTCGTTATCACAGCATGATACCTATGCTAGGTTGGGTTAGGTGACCTTTCTATGCGATTCCATCTAGCTTTGGTACTGCATAACTTAGCAAATTACATCTCTTTAGTATACATCTAAAAAGGATAGAGTAGAGGGTATAGCCAAAAATCCAAAAGCATTTTGCTGAGGTTCACTCATTCCAGGCAGGGACAATCCATTACTAAATCAAAAGGATATATATGCTGGCTCTGTGGCCCTAACCCCATTGACTGCTTCGGCTATCCATATGAGCTTTGGACATGTTTCCCCTGTTCTCTCTTGCTTGGTAGAGAGAGAAACAATTCACCAGAATTCTTTCTAATGAGTGTTTTTCCATTTATAGGAAGATTTCCTTTGTGTGTAGAAACCCTTCTTAAATGTGCTTAGAGCTGGCTGGTGAAATGGTTTAGGAGGTAAAGGCATGCTGTGAGTTCAACCCTCAGAACACACATAAAGGTGGGAGACATGAACCGAGCCTACAAATTTATTCCCTGACCTCTATGTGAACACTGTAGCATGTACACCTCCACCACACACACATGTCATAAGTGTATGTATGTATGTACACACATGATAATAGAAATATAGTAAACAATTCTTTATAAGAAAATTTGCCCAGAGCCCTCCTTTAGATTTCTGCTAAAAGTTTTGTATTTTCAGTTCATTTACTCTGCTGTTTTATCGCTGAGCTATATACCTTATCCCTCGCATAGTCACTTTTAATTTTGCTTTGTTGGGAGCAAAAAGTACTGATCTGCTGAGGTAATTGGGCCCTTAAGTATAACAACATAAAGTTGCCTGTATGTAGCTAGAGTTTTCCTGCCTGGCCCACAGTCAGGACAAATCTCTCTCACCTGCCAGTCCCACAGCCTTTCAAACCCGACCAAGTAAACACAGAGACTTATTTTGCTTACAAACTGTATGGCCGTGGCAGGCTTCTTGCTAACTGTTCTTACAGCTTAAATTAACCCATTTCTATTAATCTATACCTTGCCACGTGGCTCGTGGCTTACCGGCATCTTCATATGCTGTTTCTCATCGTGGCAGCTGGCAGTGTCTCTCTGACTCAGCCTTCCACTTCCCAGCTTTATTCTCCTCCTTGTCCCGCCTACACTTCCTGCCTAGCCAATGGCCAATCAGTGTTTTATTTAATGACTAATCAGCAACACATTTGCCATACAGAACATCCCACAGCACCTGTACTTACTGCAAACTAAATGTGTTAATTTGCTTAATTATATAATCTACTCAAAGCTTCTTTCTATACTCTAAAATGGGTCATTTCAACCCTTAATAGCCATGCTCTTTTAATTTTTTTGAGATTTTATTTTATATTTTATATGGGTGTTTTTCCAGCATTCCAGTTTACCCTACATGTACAGTGCCCATTGAGGCCAGAAGAGGGCAACAGATACCCTGGAATTGGAGCTACAGACAGTTGTTTCCTGGCTTGTGGGTGCTAAGAATTGAACCCAGACCCTCTGGAAAAGCTGCCAGTGCTCTTAATCACCGAGAACTCTCTCTAGCCACTCACATCTTTATTTTTCAGATTATCCGTAGAATTGCCATTGTCGGTCTCAGAACTGGTTTCTTTCTTAATTTTTTTTTAATTTTTGAAAATTTCACACATTTATACAATGGAATATGATTACATCTACTACCATCCCCCTTTAAAACTCCCCCAACACTTCCCTCAACTTCAGGTCTTTTTTTTTCTTTTGGATAGCCCATTTAAGTAAAGTTAGAACTGCCTATCCATATGATTCTCCATCTTCTCTCAACTATTCACCACCAGGAGCTCCTCTGTAAGGGGTGGGACCTGGACAATATCTACACCATCTGTGCTGGGATTTTGGCCAGCTTGATCTTATGTAGTTTTTGTGCAAGAAACCACAGCTGCCTTGAAATCATGATTGCCTTAGCCTTTGCATGCCCAAGTCAACATTTCATAGCTCTTCTCTCCATCCTCTGGTTCTTACGTTCTTTCTGTCTCCTCTTCCATGACGTTCCCTGAGCATCAGTGGTAGGAGAATTAGTATAGATTCTCATTTGGGGCTGAGTACTGAGTCTTTTGTTCTCAATACTTTGGCCATTTATGCATGTCTCCATTAACTGCTGCCCACTGCAAAAGAAACTTCTCTGACCAGGGTTGAGAGCAGCCCAGGTCTTTGGTCACAAACATAAACATTTAAAAAGAAATTTAGTAGTAGCATAGCACCTTAGCATAATGACAACAGGAGGTTCTACCCCCAGGGCCTATGACTTTCCTATCTGTGGACTTCTGACCATGATTATAAAACTAGGTATGAAATTACCTCCTAAAGAGAAGGCCTCAGATCAAATCATAAAGCAGTCAGTTACTCCGTAACAGTTGTGCCGCTATCATACCTGTAGGCATTTCTTGTCTGGTGGGTTGGTATTATAGCATACAGGGTCCAGTGCTGGGTCAAACTATTGGTGTCTTCTCTCCTTCATCAAACTGTATAGCATCTTTGAACCCTATTAAAAGCTAGTAAGCAAAGAGGAAGTTTCCTGGTCAGCTTGAGATTGATTTCTCTATGTCCTGTGCCAGAGTGTGTGGTGTCTTAGGAAAGGGTCTTACCGTGCAGTTATGGTGGGTAACCAAAAACAATGGCCAGCACCTGTGCTGTTTTGGAGATTGCTGGGATCTCCATGATCACTAATTAATAGGAAGGAATCTATGGCCTGGCACTGAGATTTTTATTTAGGAAGCCATGTCTTCTGGGAGTGACTGACCACACTCAGAGGGTAATTCTGTTCCAACTCTTTTAATTGTAGTTTGACTTTGAAATTAGTTTACTCACTAGTAGGTTTTCTCATGCAGACCTTGCTCTGGACAACTCACCTCCTCCTCCTCCCCCTCCTCTGATCCTCAACCTTATCCCTGTGTAATCTTTTAACTCAGCATTCTTCTCTCTTCTTTCTTTTCACATGCTTTGTGCTATACTTACACTTATTTCTTTTTTTTTAAAGTTGGGTTGTGAGGTAGTAGGTTCTTACACTGCTTTTCATATTCCATTTTCTGGGGGGAGTTAGCTCTCCCTTTTACAAACCTGAGTTCCCCCATACTCTCAGGGCTCTCCTTGCTTAAGCCTTTCCTTCCCAGTGTTAGACCTCACTGCTTGCATTTTATCTAAAATCTACTACTTTCCTCTTGATTAGTGTGTCTCTCACTAAAAAACTGTCCCTTTCTGCTTCGCTGGCCTCCACATGTGCACTGAGTGGAACACACAAGACAAAAGATTGAAAGCGAGGACCCACATATAAGGGAACATACTGTGTTCGTCTTTCTGGGCCTGAATGACCTCATCTAGTATAATCTTTTCTGGGTCTACCCATTTACCTACAGATTTCATTTTTCTTTATAGCTAAGTCATATTCCATCGTGTGTATGTGCCACATTTTTCTTATCCATTCACCTGATGATGGACATTTAGATTGATTCCATTTCCTAGTTATTATTAATAGAGTAGCAATGAGCATGTGTGTGGCAAGTGTCTCTGTAATAGGATATTAAATCCCAAGACTGGTTTCTATTGGATAACATGCTATATAGCGGTGGTTCTCTACCTGTGGGTCCTGACTCCTTTGAGGGTCACATATCAGATACCCTGTATATCAGATATTTATATCACAATTAATAATAGTAGCAAAATTACAGTTACGAAGTAGCAATGAAACAATGTTATGGTTGGGGGTCACCACAACATGAGGAACTATACCAAAGGGACGCAGCATTAGGAAGGTTGAGAACTACTGCCATATAGTATAATCAGCACACCAGTGATGAGCCAGGTCACTGCTTTAGGGTAAAGATTTGCTCACTTTTAAGATAATTGTCTATACTAAGAGTGAAACCCAACCTTTTTAGATTGCATCTTCTCCTGGATCCCCATTAGTCTGTTATGTGTCTATAGGCTCTCTTGCAAATTCTAAACTAACATGTTTGGCCAACTATTACAAGTATCAAAAAGCCCTTCTTTATTTATAGCTCAGTGTATTTGTACTTCACACTTGATAAAGGTGATGTCTCTACTACAAACAATTCTCTACAATTGTTTACTTTCTATTAAGAATGAATTAAGGATTGAATTCCCCAATTTCATAAATAATTACAAGATAAAATTTTAAAGTTTTTCTCCCTTACAAATGCTGACATGCTTTACAAATATTTTGTGTCTCAACATTTCACTGATAGAGGATATTTTTCATAAATTACAATACTAATAAAGAATATTATAATTTAGTGTTTTTATTCTGCCAAAGCTAATTATAATGTCTTATGTTCTTAGTTGGGAAGTTTGTGAAGGATTTCCAGTGAACATTGGCAGCACCAGTCAACAGATCCATGATTGCTTTGAAAAGGTGGCCTTGGAGAGTCATTTCCTACAGAACAAGGTCAGACCATATGTACTGTAAGAGGGCCTGTTTCACATATTAGATATGCAGCTATTATACTACAGTTACACAGTGGATGTTTTTTAAAGATCTGTCTTAAATATAGAAATTGGTTTTAATAATGTTTAGGCAGGCAATTTTGTCTACTTCTTGTTAATTAAGTATTTCTAACCTTACATAGTATACAGTGTTCACACTTGGAAGTATTCTGTTTGAATTGTGTCATATAAATCCTGTTGTTTGTCATAATTTTTCATTCAGGAATAGTTAATTAGTTAGGATTCTTTAAGAAAGCTTTTAAGATGTCTCTTTTCTTGGGCCAGCCACTGTGGACAAGCCTGAGCACTTGAATTTCATCCCATGGACTCACAGGGTAAAAGGAGAGAAATTCTTGCAGGTTGTTCTCTGACTGCCACACATGGAAAGAAATAAATCATTTAATTAAAACGTTACTTCCTTGTATGTTAGGATCTGCTCTACTTGCTATACTGGTCTAGATCCAATTCATAGCAATCAGACCCACATCTGTTTATCAATTTCTACTTAGAAATTCATCCTCCATAATATTTGTCAATTGACCTACTGAAGACATTTAAGATATCTCTGAAGAGGAACAATTGTCGCACATTTCTTAGATGAAAAACTCTGTGTAAGATTGTTATTCACATCAGCCATAAATATTAGTTTTTGAGCAGAAGGAAAAGACGTCTTGAGCAACATGTCTGAAGAAAGCAGGACTTCCGCCCCACAGTCCAAGCCCCCTATTCCTGAGACACACTGCAAAGGATACGTTACCTAAACCGGCTTCATTTCTTTTTCTCCGTGTTACCCACTGACTCTTTATTATATGTAAATGCATGCTGAAAATCTTGCTTTGTTGGTTTGATTTTTCTAGAACAGGACTTGAAATAGTGTAACTAGAAATGGGGAAAAATATTTCTAATCCTGGCTGATTTTGATCAAATTTAGAAAATAGTATAGTAACTGGTGCCCATTGTTTTGAAACCATCTGACATTGAGGTGTATCTGCCATAGGTCTCTGTTGGGAGCATAGCATGGAGGTCTTTGTGCCCACACATCTCCAGAGAAACCAGGAATGTTAAGTTTACAGGATTGTCATTTCAATGGGAAAGACAAAAAACCTGTTCTTCTGTTTAGAAAACTGGCAGCTGGGAGTGATAAACAGCCTGGTGACCTACATTATCTGTTGGTCCAGGCCATACCAAGCTCTTACAAGCAAGACCCAAGATAGCTAGTAATCTAAATGATCCTGATAACCAGAGACTCTCCCAAGTTCTCACAATGAGGACCAGAGGTGGCTAATAGCCCAAATGACCTCTACTCTAGCTGCATGACCAAGACCAGACCAGACCCTTCTTTAGACCCTAAAGCTAGTACAGGTAGCTTATCTCTAGAACCCATCTTCTTGGAAGAAATGACATGTACCCTGAGCTGAGTTTCAATGTAATTACGCTTCTTTGTGCACTGGGAATTGTATTACACCAGGAAACTTTTTTTTCAGATTGCACTGGGCTTAAATACACTGGGAATAGACCACCCGTTCTTAGACTCCCTGAAGTCTGATCGAGGTTGATGAAGTAGATCCGCACCGGGTTTGCTCCTCTGTATGACACCTGCAGAGACTGGGACCCCTCGATCTCTTCCTGTTGGTGTTCTTCATCAGGGTTTTCTTGGTTTTGTTTTCCTGTTTAAAATCCTGCCACATGTCTGACTGTTACCTAACGAAGTTCTCGTCACTGTCACTCTGAGTTGACATCTTTCATCATCTTGTTCCTCCTCTCTGCACTGACATCTGGAATTAGTGAACTGTGCACCCTAGCAAGCTACTGACCTGCTTGCACAGCAGCTTGCATTGTGCCTTGCCTGAGCCACGTATCTCTCACATTCATCCCCTGGCTCAAAAGGTTGTACTCTACATCTTTCCACATAGTCATACCAGAGCCTTCAAAGAGAAGCTTTGTTTTGTGTTCTCTGAACTACTTTTTTTCTTTCTTTCTTTTGAAAACACTTCTTAGAGTTTGTGATTTGATATAAGTATTTGCCTTCCTTGGCTTCTGGTTTTCTGGGTAGAGAATTCTTGGGATACAGATAATATGTGTAAATGCCAATACAGAATCCAGAGTGACATATATATACACAAACATACAGACACACAGTGTGTGTGTGTGTGTGTGTGTGTGTGTGTGTGTGTGTGTTACTTTTGAGGTGGGGTTTCATGTAGCTCCAGCTGTCTGTGTCCTCTATGTGTTAGTGAAATTATATTGTTCATCTGTTGCTTTGTGAGAACACTCCACATCCTGCTGCACCCATGTAGATCCCTCTGCCTGGATCTCAACCTCTTTTTCTTTCTTTTTTCTTTTCTGTCACCACTGTCTAGTCATCTCTGTCTCCCTTGTGCCGTGTCCTAGCATGGAGTCTGGCATGTAGTTGGCATTCAATGATGCTCTTGAAATCTTGCCCATCATCCTGGCCCCATCTGGCTTGTGGCAGCTTCAGGAAGTCTATCTTTACCTCACCCCTTCCTTAAACTATACATGATATTTCTGGTATTCATAGCCCCAGAAAATTTCTAACAGTATAGCATTGAATTAGCTACCATTTTATTATTACTATTGTTATTACGTGAATGTGTTGTAGGCATGTGTGTATATAGTTGTGCTTACCATGCACGTGTGGAGGCCAGAGGTCAACCTTGACTGTCTCCCTCTATTGCTCTTCACCTCATTTTAAAGGAAAAGGTCTATCACTGGACTCATAGTGTGATACTTTTGCCTAGGCTGGGTGGCCAGCAAGCAACTGGAATCTATGCCTCTTTTCTTCTGAATCCCAGTTCAGGGTACCCTGGGAGCAGGAAGGGTACAATGGTAGGTTCTGTTGAAAATGTTGGGATCAATCAAGTTTTAGTTCAACAGTAAGGAGTTGGTTGGCCATTCTTTTCCCAGAAGGCGTTGGGAGTGTTTGATCAGAGGTGAGATCTGATGCAGTGTTAGGAAGAAGGCTCAGGAGGCTTTCGTCTTATCCTCTCTGCTAGACCACAGGTCCCTCAAGGACAGGTCCTGATCTTGCTTGTGTCTACTTCAATATCTGTATGTACAAAGTTAGGTAAACTCAAGCAAGTTGATGAGTTAATTAACTCACTCGACAGAGACTACTTCAAACTTAAATGGGAAAAAATATATCAAAAAGACAGTAGGAAAAGGAGGCAGAAAGGGGCTTTTCTCTTACCTGCTCTGTCCAGGTGCTACCTTATACAATGGCATACACTTTAATGCTAAGAAGGGACAGACAATAGTCTGTGAGTATTTATTTTCTATTAACTGGATCTCATGATCCATTGAAATGAGAAAATATTCATCTCAAATAAATGTTCTCATACTAGTTTTGAAAGAATACATTGATTTTGAATAAAGCTCAACCAGAACAGTAGAGTGAAAAAGCAAGACCTTGATTAATCTCTCAGCAAGGAGATGCTTTTGAGGTGGTGGCAGGGAGGGGGGCTCCGTCTTTGCTGTGAAACCTTTAAATCCTTTCAGTAAAGTGTCCCCAATTACTTACAGAGAGGTGACCAGCGCATTGGGAATAGTAATTTAATAACTTGAAAAGTAGTACTTTAAAGGTGGGTACAGGCAGAGGTGACAGGCATCTACAGGACATTTTATTGTGGAATCTTGGTGCTCACTGAGGTAAAGAAGACACTAAGAGGATTACAACAGGGGTTGAGAGAAGGGAAAGAAAAGCCAATATTCCCAATGCATAGGTTTTAAAATTGGCTGCAGATAGAGATGTCATTGCCCAACCCCTGACTGTTCTTTTAAATCTCTTATTGACAAGTAAAACCTTTCCTACAGAGAAGTATCTGGAACATACAATCCCCATTTGCAATGTGGGTGACCACTGTAACCCTGACAATTACAGCCTGTTGCTCTTTTATCCATTTCAAAACCAGGATTGGAAGCCACTAAGAGTTGGCAATTTGGCACATACATATTTCAAAGACTCCCCTATTGTTGCTCATGTTGGCAACATTTGTAGATTGATTCAGTTTTAGAGCAATCAAATTATATGTTTCAATAAAATGGATGAGATTTAAACTTCAATATAAAAAATGTGAAAAGAATAGCTAGAGGAATGGCTGGTTATGGGATAGCAGAGAAGAAAAGCATGGCCTCCAGTATCTGGCACATCTTAAACTTGACAAAATGGAAAAGAAACTTATTTTGTTCCTGCTCTTTCAGGAGTTGTTGACTTTGCAGGTGTCAGAGGGTCTTCATTACAATGTTCTTTTTTTTTTTTTTTTTTTTTTTTTTTTTGAGACAGGGTTTCTCTGCGTAGCTTTGCGCCTTTCCTGGAACTCGCTTTGTAGACCAGGCTGGCCTCGAACTCACAGAGATCCGCCTGCCTCTGCCTCCCGAGTGCTGGGATTAAAGGCGTGCGCCACCACCGCCCGGCATTACAATGTTCTTAACAAAAATATCAAGAAAATGACCAGTTTTTCATTTTAGAGTCATGGCATATTTCTTACAAGTTAATTTGTAAATTCCAGTCTTATTGATACCTGCAGAATGCATCCATAACTGTTAAACATATGATTATTCTACAATTAATCATTGGTCACAAGGAGGCTGGACAAAGATAAACAGTTGCTTGCAACATGGGACTTTAAATCAATTCCTCAGTTTCTTTCTTGTCTTGAGACCATGTAGTTGTTTGAATGTCATTGGCACCCATAATCCCATAATCCCATAATCTCATGGGGAGTGGCACTATTAAGAGGTATGGCTTTGTTGGAGTAGGTATGACCTTGTTGGAGGAAGTGTATCACTGTGGGGATGGGGCTGTGAGTTTCATATACTCAGGATACAACCTAGTCAGTCAGTCAACTTCCTGTTGCCTGCAAGATGTAGGACTCTTGGCTATTTTACTTGTAACGTGTCTGCCTGCATGCCGCCATGCTCCCTGCCATGATGGACTGAACCTCTGAAACTGTAAGGGTGTCGCCCTCAATTAAATGTTTTCTTTATAAGAATTGGCATGGTCATGGTGTCTCTTCACAGCAATAGTAAATCCTAACTAAGACAAACTAATACTTGGAAGCCACTTAAGGATTGCATACCTAGATCTTAAATTTCCTTCCCTGCTTGATTGTGTAGTTATATCTTTGCTGATATTTTCTGCTCTTGGACCTTTTCGTTTCTGGGTAGGAATGACTGAGGGGGAATAGCTGATGGAAGGAAAGATATTTCATAACATTTCTTACAGTAATTTACATATAAAATTATTTAACTTAACACAAAGGTACATCATCAAAAGTGTAATTTTAGATAAAGTTTCTAGGCAGTAAATACTTAGTTCAAATTGTGATCTGTGAGTTTCTCCTTTCCATCCTTGTAGTCTATTTCTTGGTGAACCTGCAGGAGAAGGTGAGTGGGTATTGAAAGCACACCATCATTATTAATCATCTGGGGGAAAATCAAGGAGTTTGAATTGCATCAGTATGTCTATATCAGCACAATATATTCAGTCAAGGGAGATTATAATGACCCTTTAAAGTAGATCATGAATATAGGCATCCAACTGAATAAACTAGAATTCCCTTTTCAATTTATGGCAGCACTTTAGAAGACTTTTCAATACCAGATTCGATATATATATGTATGTATTTAGATATCAGACTGAGCACAAATACTTCTCTCCACATGTGCACAGGTACACACATACCCATGTATGGCATATTACATTGTAAATTGTTGGAGTATTTCTGCCCTTATTTCTATTTTTCACAGATCTTATATCTCTCTTGCCCCTTATAAACTATGTACTCTAGAGATAAGCTAGTGGACTAAAAAAGTCAAGTTGGGCCATTGAGATAGCTCAGTGGCTAAAAGCATTTGTCATGTGATCCTGATGATGGAGCAGGATCCCCAGAATGCTCATAAAGATGGAAGGAGAAAACCAATTCCACAAAGTTGTCCTCTGCCCTCCACATGTGTGCCACAGCATATGTGCTCACTCATACTTACACATCATGCACACATGTGCATGTGAACACACAGACACACACAAGCACTAATGAGATAAAAATGAATTTTACAAAGAGATCAAGTTTTTGCATACATTTTGAACTCATTATGGAGATTCACAGGAGGGCATTGATGGGGGAAACATGCCATCCACATCCCCTGGGTTCATTATTAGCTCACACAACTTGTGTTATTATTTATCACATTATACATGTAAATGGCTTCATTGTCTTCATAACCAGATTCTGATGAATCATTTTCATGGGGCTCTGTTCTACAATGCTTTTTGATTGTTTGCTTTTTCCTATGTTTCCTGATGAGCTTGTCTCTTTGGGCATAAGTGAAAACACTGAAAATGAATTTTCTGAAATAATTTCAAATGCAAAAATGAAAAAAGAAAAAGAGGAGGAAGAAGAGAACAACAGAGCAAGAAGACATAGTCACAGGAGAAGACTCTTAGTGGTGGCTGTCAGTTAAGAGTTGGCAGGATTCCTTCCTTCTACTTTTTTTTAATAACACAAATGAAGCTTCACTGGTGTGGGTCTGGCTGTGTCTGCCCTGTGCAGAATCGCTTGGGAACTGTCCAGCAAAATATCTCTTGAAGAACAGCATTGTGTTAATACTGGGTGCCAGCCCAAGGCAGAAACAAAGGACCCCCTTGCTCTTCACCAATAAGCCAACTGTTAAAAGATTAAACCATGTTGTGGAGATAACAAGAATTTAGGCGCTGGCAGCAGGTGCTGTACAAAGAAGCAGTTGGCAGCGTGGGTCCTCTGTCTAATTCCAGTCAAAACAATCTCCAGCCCAGATACAGAGGGGAGTTTAGAGGACAGAGGCAACTTGGAGTGAAGAGGTTGAAGAGGAGTGCTACTTTAAATACCGAATCCTGCAGTGATGGCTTAGTAGAATATAGTTTATCATTGTTCAAAACCTGTGGGGGATTCCCTTCTAGAATCTGGCCACTCCTGGCTATCTGGGAGAATACTCAGTCAACGCACTGTAAGTCAGATCTGCTTCTGTGCTGAGAAGCAGCTACAAAAGGCATTTTACAACTTTGATTTTCACACAAAGGAGTCGAATGACATTTCTCCCCTTGAGAGAGATCTTTCTTTTCTTACAGAATAATTATCGTAATATACCCTTCTCGGTTGTTTAAACACATTTCAAAGTATGTATTACCTTATGAATTATTGTTTAATTTGAATATTAAAAAATCATCTTGCTCAGTAAATATATAGTATTGTTGAACTTGTAGACATTTTAGCATCAGAAAGTAATTTAAATGGTTATTAAGGCAACGTCACTTATCACACTAAAGGTATATGTTGGCATAGCTCTATGATCTTATACATGTTGCTATTTAAAAGCTGTGATTACTTGAGGGGAATGTTCCTGTAACTTAGGAAGTACATTGTATTAAGTGTGAAGTAACAGAGTTTCTATAGATGATATAGGTGGATGGGAATTTAATAATCAAGCCATACTTGAAGGTGCATAATGCCCTCTACATGCACAATGTGATCAACAACACAGGCTGTGGAATCTGAATGACCCTTGGAGATATGCATGGCATGTTCCCCCATCAGTGCCTACTCCTTTTCCAGTGACTCTTCAAGCTCAGAAGTCTTAGTTAATATGTTTTTATTCTCAGGAGAATATGTAGACTCCCGATTATTCCCCTGCCTTTAACATCTCCATTCTACAGTCCATCATGTCCCCCCATGGTATACCAACCTTTACTAAACCTTGCTGGGATCTAGATCCTGGTGACAGCTTGTGCCATCTCTCTGCCTTCACCTGATGCTTTCTGCAGTTGGGCAGCATTTACCTTTTAACTCTACTAAGAAATTCTAAGATACATGGACTAAAATTACTTTACTTTTGATAGCATCTTGTTCTTTATCATCTATATCAGCTTCATTCTTTAAGAGCTATAGCATACGACTCTTTCAAGATTCTTAATTTTATTTTTATTACAAAAATGAGCCTATTTTTTGATGCCTCTAATGCAATTTAATTATTTGCATAGTGTTTAACATGAAATTTTTTTTCTTTCTGTGTATGTATGGGGGGGGCAACCTTTTTAAAGCATGAGAAATATTTTATAATATCCCATGCCACACAGACAGGATCATTGCACATCAGTACTGACAATCAACAAATATGAACTGAATTAAATGAGGCTGCATACTGATGTTGAAGATACCCCCTCCATCTTAAAACCCAATGTTCTGGCATGGTTCATTCCTTTTGAGTAAGTGTGTTGAAGAATATTTGTTTTTCAGATCATGAATTAAAAGGGTAGCCTTCTCCTTGTGATGCAGGCGGATCCCAATATTGTTCTTTATGCCTCTGTATCCATCAGAAAGCACAGTTCCTCAAGGAGGGAAGTGAACAGCAGGAACCAGAAAGTGTCCTGGCCTGCAGCCAGCGTGTGGCTGATCACCAAGGTACCAAGGCGCATCTGCTCTTACCAAATGACTTCTCCTTGTTTGCTGCCATGTTGTGCTGCTCCAGAAACTAGGGCCTTCTTGCATCTAAGCATGCAAGTGAAAGCATGTTAAATGCGGACTATTAAGACCATCTTTTCTGCTCTTAGTGTTCTCTAAAGCAGAAGATTTATGTAGACCAACAGGCACTCAGTATCCTTTTAGACATCCTGATTAGTTTACTTCTCAGAGTATGCTTAAACCAAACACAGAGTTTGTGTGAACTCCAGAGACTAATGGTTTTTCATGACAGGTGTCTGAGTCTTCATTGTTGATCTTTACCAGCTCAGCATCACTTGGCCTAATAGATTAACACCATATTATGATTTTTCATACATGTTATCAAGGACAGTTTTAAAAGAAGATTCTCAGTATAAAATGTGAACAGTTTATAATCTATGTAGGAAATCTTCATTTTTCTTTATTAATTTATAATTAGATCTGACATATATGAGGAAATATAATTGCCTCCTACCCTTTTACTATTAAAATACTGCTTGCAAATACATACTTTATCTGGAAAGAGATGGCACATCTTATGTTTGTTCTTTTATTTTTCCTTTGCCACCATTCACATCAGGATGCTCTACTGCTGTCTAAACATTTCGAGTCACATGAAACCATCCAATTAAGTTTGGTGACACTTAATCTGTGGTGGTGGAGAAAGGCATTGAAACCATTTCTCACATAAAATCCTGGATTACCCAGGCTATTCTATGATTCTCTGATAGACAAGAACAAACTTACAGAAATTAAGATATGAAGGTACTAAGATACAATGTTCATTTCAGATAATAATATAGGACCATGTTGGGTGAGATGTACCTGATGTCTGTGCCCAGCCTTAAGACCTATTAACCATTAGTTCTTTTTACCTGGTTTTCAGCATTATGTTAGCTTTTTACTTCTGTTAGTGTTAGAATATATCTGAGAAAGCAACGAGAGGAGGAAAGATTTGTGTTAGCTCGTGGCTTTACAGATCCCAGTCCATGGTCAGCTGGCCCCGTAGTCCACGACAAGGCAGAACATCATGGCTGAAGGACACAGCAGAAGGACAACTGCTAGCCTCATTGCAGTCAGGAAGTAGAGACAAGAAGGGACCACCCTTCAAAGACAATTCTCAGGGAACTGCTTCTTCATCCAGACTGTATTTCCCAATGCCACATACGTTAAACTATGAATCCACCAATGGATTTATTCATGATTAGATCAGAACCTTTTGATCCAGTCACTCTTCAGTGATTAGATCCACGAGTGGGGAACAGGCCTCATGCATGAGCCCTTTGAGGACATTTTACATCATAACCATGGCATTTACACAGTTTAAGAAACCGAGGCTAGTAACAACAAGGGAAGGATTGTTGGTCTGACTTTATAAATTAAGCTTTTCTTCTGTATTACAAAACCGGCTTTGTATCCGATCAATTTGTGAACATGCTAAGAGTGTCTTCCTCCTAGCCCTGCCACGAAATAGTTGGGTGACTGCCGTCTAATCACACGTGGCATGTAGAGTTAGGACTTCTCATCCTAAATGAAGTGGATTAGGAGCTATGGAAGGCCAGTGTTCAAATCTTAGATGGTCTTTTAATAAAAAAAGAAAAACCCAAGCCAGATATCAGGATGAGAGCTGAAAGATCAGAGAAGTAGAACAATCAGCCAATAGTTCTTACCTCTACGAAATCCTCAGCCTAAAGAGAGTGAGTTCCTGTTTCCTCACGCCTTATATACCTTTCTCTGCCCTGCCATATGACGTCCTGGGATTAAAGGCATGTGTCTTTCCCAAACAAAGGCATGAGATCTCAAGTGCTAGGATTAAAGGTGTGTGCCACCACTGCCAGGCCTCTATGTCTAAGCTAGTGACTGGCTCTGTCCTCTGATTCTCAGGCAAGTTTATTAGGGTTCACAATACATCACCACAGAAGGCCCTTTTCTAAGTTTCATCTTCTGTCATTTCATGGTATTTATTTTTAGACTCTCACTATACTATACAACTTGTATTTGTAATATTTCCTTAAAGTGATTGAAATTCTTGCCCCAAGAGTGCAGTTTTCCTGGACTCTTTGTGTAGCCTAGAGAAAGCGATTTGAGTACACTGAGACACAGTTTCTTTAACTGTAAAATGAGTTAGTCATGCCTTCCTTGCAAAGTTACACCAAAGTAGAAATCAGAAAATAGGTCTGCTGTTGTGGCATGACATCTGATATAGAGGATGCTCAACAATGTCTTTTTTCCTTTCTGTAAACCTTTCCCTTTTCTGTACAGACAAACACATTTACACATGCAAGGATTGCAAGTACTTATTACCACCCAAATTGTTTACAGATACGTTTTCTAGGTCACCATGTATTTCCCTTTTACACAACAAAAACCTGAAAAGCAAAAGTTATATGCTATAAAGGAAACAAGAAAAAAATGAATGTACATAGAAACTTCCCCTCTCTGCCTTTAACAATAAGTCCCTTTCTGTGATATAATACAGAATTTTACATGCCATCGTCCCCAGTGGGTATGTATAAATCTCTCTGTCACTGTAATTCATTTAAAATGAGCTAATTCACTAAATAGGAAAATTATTATTAAATAATCATTTTACAATATTCTAAATTAACTTTCTTGACAGAGAATGCTTACATTTAAGACAAAGAGGTCATGCACTACCACCTCCGTACAGTTTTAACCCATGGTATTAAGACCCAGAGTAAAACTTTAAATTGATATGAAGGTTGAGGATTTGTTCCAATCCTCTCAGTTCACTGCACGTGTTTGTCTGTGCATACTGATTTCAAGGAAGCTCTGTAGTTATAACTCTAGCAAGTGACACGTGATGGACCCCAAGTCACTACACTGTGAAATATGCACAGAAAAGAAGGACAAATGAAGATATCAAGGTCTGTTTTATTTTGCGTTCAACTGTAAAATGCCACCCTTGTAGGCCAGAGGATCGCTGCTTCTGAGTAGGGCTCACTGACTGCTAAGTTGTGGGTAGTATTTCACTTTGAGCCACTGTTAATATCCAGGCTTATCCAGGCATAATGACCTCACTATTTGTGACACATTGTTGAATTTTCTGGTTCTTTTAACTTATTTAGACCTTTTTCTCCCTTCCCTTTCATTGGAAGACTGGGATGATCCTGAGCAGAGCGATAACTCAAGGCTGCCTGGCTGTTGGTCATCCAGTCAGAGTCAAGAGCACCCAGGGGACATCACTGGAAGGATATAAATTACTGCTACAGAAAAGGTAATGCTTCTGAGTGATCTGGCTCAAAACAACACATTTTAATTTTGCAAATTCTGAGCAGGTGTATTGAGATGTTTTCTGGCTTGGATAGAACAATCACTAGGCATTTAAACCTTACATTAACATTTCTATTTTAATCTAGAAGAATCTTGAAAATTTATGTCACTTTGTTTGGTAGTATGCTAAAAAGAGAAATATTGACTTCAAATGTTTCTATGCAGGTAATAAGCCACATGAGCTTTATTTATTCCATGAGGGTTCCTTGCATTGTGTCCATCTTTATTGTAAATTAGAAAACTTAAATTAGCATGTGTGCTTTTAACTTTTTCTCCATATTTTTGAACATGGAATACTGTAAAAGTAAAATTATGGAGATAAAACAATGGCTGACTTGGAGTGGGCCAGAAATAGCCTCTGTCTATCATATTTTTTTCTTACAGAAGATATGGTTGGAAATTTTTTTAAATAAAAGTTTAATTTTCTTAAATAAAAAAAAACCTCTGAGGCAGAAAGTTGGTTTATATCCAATCACCTACAAGGTTTTGTTTCCAAGATCCTTCCTTCCTTCCTTCCTTCCTTCCTTCCTTCCTTCCTTCCTTCCTTCCTTCCTGCCTTCCTTTTTTCCTTCCTTTCTTTCTTTCTTTCTTTCTTTCTTTCTTTCTTTCTTTCTTTCCTTCTTTCTTTCAAGACAAGATCTCTCTATCCTCTAGTTCTGGCTGTCCTGGAACTCACTATGTAGACCAGGCTGGCCTCAAACTCACAGAGCTCTTTCTGCCTTTGCTTCCTGGGTGCTGGGATTAAAGGTGTGCTCTAATTTTGTAGCATGCATCACCTTTGATTTAACTTAATATTGACAAGAACAAGCATTGCTGTATTTTAGTACATAGAGAGTCATGATTTAGATAGTTTGGCTGGATAAGGATGTACATAGAGATGAAGCCAGAATCATGATACTTAGGCATCAGGGAGGCTGACCCAGCTGTGAATACAGAAGGGAAAATGTAACATGAAAAGCAGTCTGTCCAGCAGGCATAACGTACCACACAGTGATTAAAAACACCATCTACAGAGTCAAATTTCTAGGTGTAAACCCTGGCTGCACAACTTACTCTCACAACAACCATGCACTTCTGCCCCAGATACCATTCTGATTTCTCAATGTTGCATTACTACATTTAAATCTCATGTCAGTCTGGTAAGGTGATTATCATGATTATCTGCACTGAAGTTCAGAGACAAATTTCTTGTTCAAGGTCATACCTTTTAGATGGCTGCACAGGAAAACAAACTCAAGCAGTCAGTCTCTAACCCGAAAATGGACTCTTAGTCACGACACTACACTGTTTAATAGGACACAGTCAAGTCAAATAATTGACAGCAAGTGTCTGGTGTTGTAACAGAACACCTTAGAAGTTGGGGGTGGGTGGGGGAGAGGCACACAGGAAAAGGAAATATCAATGTTTTTAAAATCGCACATATTTATCATGGAATATCTGTAATTGTGTCTTATTAGGCAAATCACTTTTCTCTTTTAGCTTTTACAGTTATACCTAATGCTATAACTAGGATTGATTGATTGATTTAAATGCTGTCTCTGCATTCCCAGTGTTAGGAGTACAAATGCACATCATGGTGCCTAACGTTTTATGTGGTGCTAGTCATCAAACTTGGTCCTCATGGTTGCATTGGAATCACTTTATTGCCTGAGCAGTCTCCATACCTTCTTAAAGATATTTTTTTATTCTTTGAAAATTCGTAGACGTATACAATGCATTTTAGTCATACGTTTCCCCCACTCCTTCCCTTCAATTCCACTTGGCCCTCTAGACAATATATTTCCCCTCTAGATAGTCCTAATTTTTTAATTAGCACTGAGCCCAGTCACTGCTGTATACATGTGCATGACTGTGGGTTAACTAGTAGGACACGGGCAACCTGCCAGTGGCCACCCCTCAAAGAACAGTGACTCTCATGTAGTCACAATCAACTGTCAATATCTCTTCAAGTAGGGGTGGGGTCTCCATGCTGGGATTTGTAACTGGCTTAATCTTGTGCAGGTCTTACGCAGGTAACCACAGATGCTGTGTTCATGTGTGTAACAGTCATGTTATACCCAAAGGACATCCTTTCATAGTGCTCTTCCCTCTCCTCTGGCTTTTCAGTTCTTTCTGTCCCCTGTTCTACCATATTCCTTGAGCATTAGTGGATAGATGTTTATATAGATGTCCCATCTGTGGCTGAACATGTACAGCAGCTTATTCTCAGCACTTTGAACAGTCATGAATCTCTGAATTAACCACTACCCATTACAAGGGGAGGCATCTCTCCCCAAGGTTGAGAACTGAACAAGTATGCAGATAAAAACATAAATATTTAGAAAGCAGTTTGACAACATGATTACTTAGCAAAGCAGCATTAAAGGATTTCTCCTTGAGCCTATGACTTTGTTAGCCAGAGGTTTTGACCATGTTTACAGGACAAGGCATCAATTCTCTCTAATGGAGCAGATCTCACATTCAATCCAGGGTGGTTGGTACCCATCCGGTCTTGCCACTATTGCACCAGTGGGTACATCTTTCCTGGTAGGTCATATTTGTAGCACTTAAGATCCAGTATCAGGTAAGACCATTGATGTCTTTTCTCCCCCAGCAGCCTGCATAGCACCTTTCAGCAGTATGAATATTATCCAGGAGGGAGAGAGCTTCCTGGTTAGAGGATACTGATTTCTCTATGTCTGCATCCAAAGTGAGTGGTGTTCCCTGAAGACATTCCTTTTTAAGGGAACTGCATAGTGATCAGAATAGTCTATATTCTACCAATAAAACAAATCTCAACAACTCTAACAGATTTCAAATAAGATAAAATATAGTCTCTGACCATATAGAGTTAATTAGGTATCAATAGCAGGAGGGGACAGCATTTAGCTCAGTGGTAGAGTGTACAGATTCAATCCCCAGCATATATTGAAAGAAGAAAATGGAAATGAACTCAAAAGGATAAAGCTTTCTGTGATACCTCCAAATATATAGACATGAAGTAATACATTTCTAAATACCCCATGCACCAAAGGAGACATTAAAATATAAATTAGCAAGTATTTTGAACTTAATGAAAACAAAACACAAAGGTAGGCTTACAATGAAGTGCTATTGTGAATCTAGTAGCATGTCTAATATTCCAAAGACTAAGTTAGAGTTTTAACAAGTAGTGCTTTCATCACTCTTAGCTGATGGAAATGGAAAACAGTTTGAGAGCTAGTTTAAACTTCTACAGAATATAAACACTTTTCTACTCTATGGCCTGGCTATCCTACTCTGAGGAATTTATCCAAAGAAAATGAAAGTATGTGTTCCTACAAAGACTTGTACATGCATGTTCACAACAGCTTTACTCCAAAAGATGACAAAGCTAGAAATAACCCAAACATCCATCTACATAGGAAAAATAAGCAAATTATCTTTTCCAAAGAATGATGCCAGTCAATAAAAGGGAATTGGTTCTTAGTAATGCAACAGTAGGAATAGACTCTCAAAGGAATTTTGCTAGCAGAAAGTTAAAAAAAAAAAAAAGTCCATACCACTTGACTTCATTCACATGCAATTTGAATAAATTCTCAATAATCTAGAACTCTAGAATGCAGGTCACTGACTGACTAGAGATAACAAAGTGGGGAGGCCAGAAAGTAGGATTTTAAAAGACTCACAGGGGCTGGAGGGATGGCTGCTTTCCCAGAAGACCTGGATTCAATTCCCAGCACCCACGTGGCAGTTCACAATTGTCTATAACTTCAGTTCCAGGAGATCCGATGCCCTCTTCCCCTCTGTGGGCACTACATGCACATGGAGCACAGACAAAAATATAATAAAAAGTTTTCAAAGATGCACCAGAAAGCTTTAGAAGTGATTTCCTTCTGGGGAGGAGGTTGAGAGACATAGAAATGTTTGTTATCATGACTGAGATGATGATTTCAAAGTATATGCATATTTCAAAGTTTCATATTTTATTCTTTAAATATATGCCTGTCAATTGTACAACTGACATGTTATATGATAAATAGAATAAACAAAGCTACTTGAAGCTCCAAATAAAGCTCCTTGAAAAGACTAAATACAAACTAAAAAAATAAACAAAAATTGAAAATGAGTAGGGAATAACTGAGTTATGGTTTTGTTAGAGAAGGAGAGGAGAGAGGAGAAAGGAGAGAGAGAGAGAGAGAGAGAGAGAGAGAGAGAGAGAGAGAGAGAGAGAGAGAGAGATCTGATTGATATCCACAGTCTAAACAGCAGGTATTTGGGAGTGTCCTGTTCACTGGTCTTGCTCATGATGCCCAGGGTTCTCTCTGGCCACAGTGGATTCTGAGAGCAGAGCATCTGTTCAGTTGCCTGACCTGAACCTATCCAGATCTTCTTCCTACTGTGGTCAGGATAGTGAGACAGTGGTAGTGAAGCTCAATGTCCTGAAAGCAGGGAAAGAGATTCCAGTTAAAAAAAAATGCAGCAAGTTTGGGGAGGTGGAGGCAGGAGGATCAGAAATTCAAAGTCATCCTCCAGAACATAGTGAGTTTGAGGTCAGTCTAGCCCAGTGATTCTCAACCTTACCTTCCTAATGCTCTGACCTTTAATACAGTTCCTCACGTTGTGGTGACCCCCGTTAAATTATTTCATTGCTGCTTCATAACTGTAATTTTGCTACTGTTATGAGCCATAAAGTAAACATCTGATGTGCGGGATATCTGATATGCGACCCTGTGAAAGGGTCATTTGACTCCTAAAGGGGTCACAACCCACAGTTTGAGACCCACTGGTCTAAGATATTTGAGGTCCTATCACTGAAATAGAAAGTATAAGCTTAACTTTGAAAATGTCTATTTACAAGAAGTGATTTTATAATCTAGAAAAGAATGAAGGACCAAGAGGGCGGGGAGGTGGGAGGAACGCGGAGTAGTTGGGAGGAAGGAAGATTCCTATGCACAAATGAGTCTCATCTGCCTTTGTACTGAT